ATCAATACTGGAGCTGACAAAATGTGGAGCAGATTTGCACTGCAGCCAATCAGCTTCTCTGTCTCATTTTCAAATCTTACCTGAGCAAACTGAAGAGAGATGCTGATTGGTTGGTTGCCATAGGCAACTGCTCTAGATTCTGTTTGCCCCAGTTTTGATATATTCCCCACACATGCACACCCGTGCAGAGACCTGCTCCCGGGAGGTACAGATGCTGCATGTAATTGAGTGCAACAGACTATACCTCCCTATTAGAGGACGCAGCTACACGCCGACCTGAACCTGCCACAAACAGTGTGCATCCAAATGCGGGCACCCGGACCGGCAAAGGTTCCTGTCAGCCTGTAGTCATGTGCAGGTAAAGGTGGAATTAGCCTTTAACAACACACATATTACAGTGTTTTAGTTGTGGTGCTTTTGTATTGTATTGTTTGGCAACAACATATGGACAGAAAAATGAATAAATTGCATGGCAATAAATGTCAGTCAAAGTACCGCAGCGCTGAATACTGAAAAATGGCCTGGATGGGAAGGGGGTTTAACACCGCGGACTTCAAGTGGTTAAGAGGGACTCCTCATAGTGAAGCATGTTTGTAAACGTTTATTAATAAAACACACATAAATACTCACATATCCAAATAAAAACGGCCGGTATCTCGTGAGCCTCCGTGCTCACTTCCGCAATCGCTGTGACGTCAGATAGGCACGCCCCTATCTGGCCCGGGCCTATCTGACGTCACAGAGATTGCGGAAGTGGAAAGCAACATTCGGTAAACATCTGGAGGGATTGCTAAGAATTAGGGATGCACCGATACCACTTTTTTAAGACAGAGTACGAGTACCGATACTTTTGATCAATTACTCGCAGATACCAATAACCGATACTTTTTCTTAAAGGGACAGGTCACATTTTTTCTAAAGCAATACAAACTAATGCTTTAAGGTCACTTTCTTAATATTATGATTCATGAGATGACGAGGGAGCATGACGCCGGCTTCACTGCCAATCAGAATGCCGGGCGCTGCGTCATTACACGGCGCACGGCTTCCGGATTTGCTAGCTTCCTGACCAATCGGGAAGCGCATCATTGCATGCTACCCGGCTTCCTGATTGGCCGGGAAGTCGGCTCCATGCTCTCTCATCACAAGTGACGAGAGAGCATGGAGCCGTTTCCTGGCCAATCAGGAAACCGGGCAGTGTGTAATGATGCGCTGCCCGGCTTCCTTAAACAGGAAGTACTCGTGCTAGGTATCGGAGCATTTGGGCGAGTACGAGTACTCACCCAAATACTCGGTATCGGCACCGATACTAGTATCGGTATCGGTGCATCCCTACTAAGAATGATCTGACCCAATACCTGCTTCAAAAAAAAGATTTGTATGGGGTGAGTGTGCACTACCCAAGGGGGCTTCGTGTGTGACACAAGGAGGATCACGTAAAGCACTAGCACTCTATATAAGGACTTGGAGGACGATTATACATTTTAAAGTTGATATTTTTTGCACTTATCATCATATGAGTTTTGGAGTTTGATTATAAATAGTCACGAATATTTCACTGTGTATCTATATCTGGAAGTTTGTTTATCCAGATTGTGGCTGCATTATCACAATCATTTTTGGTTTGATTGTGGCACATGGTATTATTTTCCACTTATAATTATTCACTGTTAATAATTGTTCACTGTGATATTTATAGTTTGTACCGTGATATATATACAATTTGTTCCACTGGTTTTTTCTCACATAAGTCATTTACATAATTTTACATTTATTTATCCCTATTTACATTTTTTCATCACACACAAATTATGACTGGATTTGGGCTTCAGATTCTTTTACCCTGACCATTCAGGGAAGAGGGACAGTGTCTTTGCAAAGGGTGAGGATGTCAGGGACAGTGAAGGGAGACGGGTTTACTCAGGGCCATACCTATAATGAGGCAGCATTTCACTAGGTCACTCGGCACACTTGCCGCCCCCTTTTTGGCTACAGTGTTCCAGGTTGTGAAGCTCTGGCCAGCATCCCGCCCAGCTCGCTGACATCACTGGTGGCCAGGAGCTGAGCGGGATGCTGGACATAGGTACCATGCACCACCCTCCCCCTGGGCTCAGGCAGCAAAGTGAAGGGACACCCATGGGTTCACTTCCGCTTTAAATTAAATATACAGTTTTCTCTTTTATTTCTCTTTCTTTGTACATCCCAGGACTGCTGGTCTCCCACAGCTACTTCCTGTCTACACTCACTTAGCAAGGGCTGTATGGCATGTCTCAGGATGGGTTTCCAGATGACAACTAGTGATGTGCATGGGCCAGCCTGTGCAACACAGATGGTAACAACCCCCTCACCCAATCAGGTGCAGCCGGGGCATTCCCTGCCAATCAGCTTCATCAGCTTGCAACCGATTGGGCCAGGAGGGGAGGGTGTCATTGACAGGTCTTAGGCAAACATCCCTGAATGGTGACAACAATAGACTATGCCTGCGTAATGTGTGCTGAAGTGGATATGGAATCCCACATGACAGGATGACAACACTGGAGCCCAAACGAGTACTGGGACAGAGCAGCGTCACCCTGTAATAGGAAGTGCCTAAACAAAGACGTCCAGGGCAGGAACTGAAAACTGCAAATGTATAAAGATTGCAAATGACTTTTGAAATGACATTATCATAATAACAGCTGATAAAGATATACTGCACAACTTCTGATGTCTTCCCACATGCAGAAGACGTTCCTATGTGCTGGACTATGGTTACCTGTCCATGACTTTTGCTCAGGGATGTAATAGTACTTATTTCCATACTGGTCTGTGCCCATGTGATGTCTGACTGTCCCCAGTGTCCTCTGCAGTATGGAGCGCAGCTTGTTCATGATGATCTCCCCGTGTAATCAATCATACAGCCTGCTCCGTGTGTTTTACGAGAACCTTCTCGCCTAGACGAGCTGATTGGCTCTGGGAACACAAGCACCGCCCCCTCATAGCTGTGTACAGCCTTAGAGTACAGCTTAGGCAAAAGGAGTGTCTGCAACGGCGGCCATGTTTCCGTAGCTCAAACTGCTATATGGCAGGAGTAGTAATCTCTGCAAAAATGGCTCAGGTGTTCTATCGAAAGCTCCAACTCCTCGAGTTCTCCAACTGTCTGACTTCCGGTTTAGTTAGAACTAAGAGGTTTGGCCAAGAAAGCTAATCTGCACGAGTGCCAGCCGTGGCATTGCCCTATACACATGCACCACAGCAATGAAGTATTAAAATGAACTAGGATCACACTAATCCAGCATGTTAGTAAAGGAGAACTATGAGGGGAGTGATTTTCACTCAACCTCATGCTGGGCCCTGCCAGCACAGTCATCCTCCTACCAAGCATGGTAAACCCTGCCTGAGCCTTGGCGACGCCTCCCGCCTCCTCCATCACGGTCTCTTCTCTTGCCTCCTCCGTTGTAGTCTTTGGCTCTTCCATATCCGCCCCTTCTCCCCTGTCTCCGCCCCTGCCGCTACGTCTACTCCGTCTTCACACTGCCTCTTGCAGCTCCGACACATCTCCTCTATCGCCACCCCCTGCTTTCTGCCACTCCGTCCCCCGTCTCCTCCTGCTCCCCCGCCCGCAACTTGCCGTCCCCGTTGACATTAGGCAGCCAGGCTGCCAGTTTTTGTGCAGCCCGGCTGCCTAAATGTTTTGGGGGGCTGCATTTTTGTACGGGGGTAGCCCCACTGAAAGGGTTAAGAACAGTTTGCCCGGAGTTCTGCTTTAATGGTATATTTGACGTTCTGCTTTAAATGCAGTATGTCCACATTGTGTTGGAGTGTACCCTGAGCTCTGGTTGCCCAGAATCCAACAGGGGAGTTTGAGATATAAATCACAATGACACCGTTTAGAACAAATATGATTTTCCCTTGAGACCTAAGTTCAAAATGTGAGTCACATTCATCACGTACAGGTGCAGCTTCCTGACATCACTAATTCCTGTACAGAGGTCAAAGTATAAGATTCTCTCTACAACGTATGAGAAAGGAGGAGCATTACTATCTGTGCTCTTGTACACACCAGCAGGAAATACATGCAGGAAAATGCAATACAAATGCACAAAGAATAACAGATTGCTATTACTGCAATGGGCTGCAGAGGCTTGAGGTGTATCCCGGTCATGTGTGGCTGTTGCAAATTGCGAGTGGTGGCAACAGTGACACTACTAACCTTTGTAGCTCTGCAACCAACAGCTTGGAGTAAGCCTGTCACAAACCTGGGCAATACAATGTAAGTGTATAAATAAAAATTAGACTTGTGCGATTCGTTTCAGAACAAATTTTCGTTATTCGGCAAATCGGATGTATCCGAATAACAGAAATGACGAATTAACCAGTTGACATCCGCGGTGTTAAACCCCCTTCCCATCCAGGCCATTTTTCAGTATTCAGCGCTGCGGTACTTTGACTGACATTTATTCCGTCATGCAGCGCTGTACTGAAATTAATTTTATACCCTTTTTTGGGGACAGATAGAGCTTTCTTTTGGTGGTATTTATTCACCACTGGGGGTTTTATTTTTTTACTATATTAAGGAAAAATTACCGAAATTAAAAAAAAAAAAAATCGCCTAAATGTGAAACACCCGGTAACGGGTGTGTGCATTGATCGGGTCTTTTCTGCCCGTGCGTGCCCGCTAGGGGGCGCGCGCGAGCAGAAAAAAATTGCCGTCTGGAGACGGCAACCCGCAGATGCTGCAGTGCCGTCCGGTGCACATGTCTATTTCCAATACCTGGCAAAATGATCAACAGATCCAATATTATAGACAGCTGAAGTCAGTTCCAAATCTGGGCACTGCCTCTCCCCAACATTAACTGAGACGAGAGTTCTCCCCAAAGGTGGCCATACACTTTACAACCCCATCTTGGACAGGCAGATCGTACTTGCGATCATCGCAAGCCCCCCCTCCCCGGGCTTGCCCCCCGGGCTTGCAATGACTGCAATGAGGGGCGAGCTTTCCGATGACTGCGCACACCGGCCCGTTCGGCAGTTGTCGAACAAGCAGGCCACTAACTCGCCGAGAATCGTACGATTCCCGGCGGGTTTTCCAGCCTGCTTGTTCGACGGAAGACGCGCGACCGTACAGTAGAAACGGTCGCACGCCTTCCATACACTGCACGATTCTCGTACGATCACGGGAATCGTGCAGTGTATGGGCACCGTTACTAACAGATTAACAAATCTGTGAATGACCAATTAACAATCCCCTGCTCAATGCTCTGTACTGAGGGACCGTTAATCTGCAAGCCCCCTCTCAAAACACTGGAGTAATCTCTCCCCAAATGTACAACAAATATAGTCCATAGTCCTGGCCTCGTTAGGGTGAGAGAGTGGTGTCGAAGCGTGTAATCAGGAATGGGGGGGGGGGGGGTTACTTTTAAGGGC